CCCTGGAACTGGCCACCCCCTCACACCTCCACTTTGTCTGGCATCGTGCTGATGCCCTCACCACCCAGCTGATGACCCAGGAACGCCACCTCCCTTTGCATGAAATGGCACTTTCCCGGATGTAATCTTAGCCCCGCCCCCGAGATCCTCTCCAACACTCGCCTAAGTGCCCCCAGTGCCCACTCGAACGATGTGCCGTGCACCAATATGTCGTCTAGGTACACGACACACTCGTCTCTAGGAACCCCAGCCAGCACTCTGTCCATGAGCCTCTCAAAGGTGGCAGGAGCATTACAGAGGCCGAAGCACAGCACCTTGAACTGCCAATGCCTCCTATCCGTGGAGAAGGCAGTTTTTTCACGTGCCCCTGGCGAGAGGGGCACCTGCCAGTAGCTACTGCGCAGATCAAGGGAGGAGAACCACGAGGACCCTCTCACGTGGTTTAGCGACTCGTCGATCCTCGGTAGGAGGTAAGATTATTTAGTGGTGACAGAATTTAGGCCCCGATAGCTTCCTCCTTCCCCATCGGGCTGATGGGGTGAAGAAGCCAGTGTGTTTTGGGCTACTGGGCTGCTTGCACCGTTATGGGGAGTGAAGACCGTCGCCTCCGGAGACAGCTGCTGGGATGGCACAACGACCAACGGAGCAGCCGGGACGACCAGTGGAGTTTCGGCAAGCTTGGAGGAAGACGGAGGGACAGCCCTGGCCATCCCGAAGGCGACATCCCCACTGTGGGCCCCCCTGACAGCCTCAAAGTGCCCGAAGCTAAGTCCAACTGAGCCCCACAGAGTTCATTCCCAGTATATAGGGGTCCTGCACCGCTGCTATCCACACCGGACACCCCACAGTTCTCCCCCCGCAGTCACAGACAGCTGACACTTCCCTAACATGGGGGCTAGCTCCCCCGTGACAGTCCGCAGCTGGACAAGGGTCGGCTCCACCCGCACCCCAACAGGTAGTATGTCTGGTCTCACCAGGGTTACTGTAGAGCCTGTGTCGACCAGGGCCGAACATTCCACCCCTTCTACCTTGACGATGACATTACAGAAGTCCCCCACGGTGGTACAGGTACGTCCCACCACAACTACCAGACTAGGAAACGTGGAGGAAGCTACACCCTGGGGGAGCAGGTCCCCACCCTCTTGCCTGCACTGCTGGGTACATCTTCTGCTAACTGCGGGTTCGGGGGTGGGGGGTGGCCCCTGCGTGAGAACCCACTGTCGATTCCCTGGTGACGGGAGAATCTGCCACACTCCCGCTGAATGTGGCCAAGCTGGCCACAACCCCAGCAGACAATGGGAGTTGAGCTAACGCTGCAACGTTGCCTGGAGCACCTCTCAATGACAAGCAAAGCAGTCTTGACTAAACCGCCCAACTCGTCGACCCACTCTGGTATGGCGACCCCCGGCACCCCGGCCGCCGCTGCTCTCACCTCCGGTTGACTGGCAACCTCCACTCTCACTCCCTCACCCCAGATCAGCTCCCTCTTCCTGGCTATCTCCACTGCAGCCCGCAGAAACGGTGGGTCCGCCATCTGAACATGCTTACCCAGTTCGGTGGAAGAGAGTGCTCTAATAAAACTGTCCCGTGCCAGCTCGTCTTGCACCCCAATCGACATAGTTGCATAAGCCCGCCGGGTCAGGCTCAGAATACCACTCGCCAGCGCCTTTAACGATTCCCCCAGAAGTCTCTTTCTGTTACTCAGTTCAATCCGCAGCATGTTGGGCTGCGCGTCGCTGCCGAAACAGCCCCCCAATGCCTCCACTAGCGCATCGTAGTCGCCCCTCTCGTCCGGGGCTAGCATTAGCAGGCATTCCGACGTCTCCTCTGCCAGGCTCAGGGCAAGCTGTAACGATTTCGTCTCGTCAGACCACCTACCGGCTCTAGCCAACAACTCGAATTGAGTGAAAAAAACTTCCCATTTACCTTGTCCATTGAACTTCGGTAGTTTAGCCACTACCGCTAATGGCAATAGAGCGCTGCCATCTTTGTTTACATAAGCAGGCCCAGCCATTTCCACACCCGGTGACGTTGACATCCCCGTTGCCGTGACATCTTCTCTGGTCGAGCGGTGCGAAGGAAAAGCCGCCAGTTCTGCCATTTTGCTGACAGACACCAGATGTGCAGGGCAGAACACAGGTTTATTCCTAAACTGGGCTATTGTTCAGAACGTACACAAATACACAATGTAAAGTTAAGTGTCAGATTCGTAGGAGCAGATCAAGATCCTGAATCGAAAAAGAGAGAGATGAGACAGTGTTCCCTATTTATGCATTTCAAAAACCCTGCGGGATTACCCATCACATCCCCCCAACCTTTCCGTCTGTCCTGGCATATTTAACCCCTGCTAATACCCATGAGAACAATAACACACCCACGAATACAGAACACAATACCGGGTCGTTACAAAATACTTTGTGTACAACGCAAAGCTCCAAACAATGCATGCAGAGCAGAATTTGGACTATACCTGCTAGTTATCAAAATGCAAAAAAGAGCTGTTAAATTCTACAAACACCCAAAAGGAAGCAATACCCACACATCCCACTACAAAGCCCTCACCTACAGAGAGATTAACCTAGAGAAGAGTCCCCACAGCCAGCTGGATCTGGGGCTCTGTTCACAAACACAAACAGACCCCACAGAGCCCCAGGACAGCAATACAATTAGACCCAACCAAATTATGAGAAAGCAAAAAGATAACTATTTGACACTGGAAAGAATCAACCATCAAACATAGCAAATTGGAATGCTTTCTGGCCCTAAACAGAGAGAACACAGTGGCAGAATACCTGACCACTGTGACTGACCCAAAATTAAGAAAATTCTTGACTATGTACAGACTCAGTGAACATATCCTTGCTATTGCACTTCCTAACCTCTTGCCAAATGTACAGTATCCACATTAGAGACACATATTTACCACAGATCACACAGACCTACAAAGAATTTGAAAACAATTCAAACATTGATAAACTCCCATATCTGTTAGTCGAAATACTTCAATGTGCAATCACAGCAGCAAGATTTTTGGCCCGTTGCCATGAAAAAAGGGCAATCAGTGGAGCACAAACAACATTGTAAATACCACCAATATTTATTTGTTTATTTATCTTTCCCTACTATTCGTACGCACAATGCACATTGCTAAGAAACAGTACATAGCTGATAATATAACACTTGAAATGAATTTATCTTTTTGAAATCTTTGTGAGTGCAATGTTTACTAATAGTTTTATGTTGATGTTGTTTTTGTTTATTCTCACTTTTGTTTATTGTTTATTTCTCTTGCTTTGGCAATGTAAACATATGTTTCCCATGCCAATAAAGCCCCTTTGAATTGAATTGAGAGACAGAGAGACAGAGAGAGAGAGAGAGAGAGAGAGAGAGAGAGAGAGAGAGAGAGAGAGAGAGAGAGAGAGAGAGAGAGAGAGAGAGAGAGAGAGAGAGAGAGAGAGAGAAAAAGAAAAAGAGAAAGAGAAAGAGAAAGAGAAAGAGAAAGAGAAAGAGAAAGAGAAAGAGAATTAAACAAAAAACAGAGCAAACTGGAATGCTATTTGGCCCAAAATTAAGGAACGCTTTGACTATGTACAGACTCAGTGATCATAGCCTTGCTATTGCCGTAAGCAGACCTGGCACTCGAGAGAAGACAGGCTATGTGCACACTGCCCACAAAATGAGGTGGAAACTGAGCTACACTTCCTAACCTCCTGCCAAATGTATGACCATATTACACACATATTTCCCTCAGATTACGCAGACCCACAAAAAAATAGAAAACAAATCCAATTCTGATCAACTCACATATCTATTAGGTGAAATACCACAGTGTGCCATCACAGCAATAAATATGTGTGACCTGTTGCCACAAGAAATGGGCAACCAATGAAGCACAAACACCATTGTAAATACAACCCATATTTATGTTTATTTGTTTTCCCTTTTGTACTTCAACTATTTGCACATTGTTACAACACTGTACATAGCCATAATATAACATTTGAAATGTCTATATTCTTTTGAAACTTTTGTGAGTGTAATGTTTACTGTTAATTTCTGATTGTTGATGTCACTTTTGTTTATTATCGATTTCACTTGCTTTGGCAATGTAAACATACACTGAGTGTACAAAACATTAGGAACATCTTCCTACTATTGAGTTGCCCTCAGAACAGACTCAATTTGTCGGGGCATGCTCTACAAGGTGTCGAAAGCGTTCCACAGGGATGCTGGCCCACAGTTGTGTCAAATTGGCTGAATGTCCTTTGGGTGTTGGACCATTCTTGATACACACGGGAAACTGTTGGGCATGATAAACCCAGCAGCATTGCAGTTCTTGACACACTCAAACCGGTGCGCCTGGCACCTACTACCATACCCCGTTCAAAGACACTTCAATTGTTTTGTCTTGCCCATTCACCTTCTGAATGGCACACATACACAATCCATTTCTCAATTGTCTGAAGGCTTAAACATTTCTCCTCCCCTTCATCTACACTGATTGAAGTGGATTTAACAAGTGACATCAATAAGGGATCATAGCTTTCACCTGGATTCACCTGGTCAGTCTGTCATGGAAAGAGCAGGTGTTCCTAATGTTTTGTACACTCAGTGTATTTTTCCCATGCCAATAAAGCCCTTTGAATTGGAGAGAGAGAGAGAGAGAGAGAGAGAGAAGATGGTAACGTGATGGAAGAAATTTGCTTGGTGCATGCCCTGCATTTAGCTAGTTTCCATGGAGATCCTCTCATCTGCGTTCTTATGTCTGTATTGCAATATTTACTTCGGGTAGAAAAATTAAATATCCCGTTCACTCACTGGCTCAATGGCTGAAACGGATGATAAATTAGTAGTTGTACAGATATTGAATTTTTATGCATAATTCGTCGATTACATTATTATCTATATTGATAATATAGCACATCATATTTTACCTCTAAAGCGCTATAGGACATGTTTCCGCGGGGGCTGTAAAAACTGATGCACATGCTTACACTGGGGCATCACGTGACACAGGCAGGCTGATGGAAATGCAATGTGCCAGAGATTTGTGTAATGTGCTGGTTTCAGCTTGCTAGTTTTTCGAATTACAATATATAATGCAGTTTAACAAACGAATCTTTTGCTGTCATGTTTAGAACTATAATGTTTGCTGACTGGTTAGCCTTCGACGAACACGTGGACATTGTTGTTGTTAGCCTTGTGGCTAGCTGTCATTCATAGGCGACGAAACGGTTAGATAGCTACAATTCTGGTAATGAAACTACCTTGCTCACAAATGTAATCAGAAGATGGTTGTTTTCTCAGCATGACAAGTGAACATAGACCTCAGAAAGACTGGTATTCTATACTTGAATCCAGTCCATCAGATGGGCTACAAGACCTCAAACAGAAGTACCAAAGACTGGCCTTAATGGTATGTGTAAGCTCTATGGCGGTCTACTGTGTCATATATTTTCAATTTTACTGATGGATAAACTGCTGTTAGGTTTATTTTCATCTTGATGAACCATGTCAAAAGAGGTCCCAAGAATTGAGTGAGAGACAGGGTGAGAAAGTAGCTTGATATAACGTTACTGTTGGAGAAAGTAGCTTGATATAACGTTATTGTTGGTCCATTAGCCCCTAGCTTGTATTTCTAGAAAGTAAAAATTTTATGACTATAAACACACCCTCTATATCACACATATATTACCGACTGGGTGTTTATTTTTGGCCATCTGTGCAAGTCAAGACTACATTAATCCACTGCGCTGCAGCTTCGGCATGAGGTCTGGGAGTGTCTTCAAGATAAGTCTTCTAGGTTTCAGGCAAGGTTAGTCTACTTATCATGCAAGCTTAGATTGTCGATGTGATGACTATGATTAAGTATGAACTGCATCTTGCCCTTGGATATTAATCTGTAAATTTCTATTAATCCTTAACAGAAGAGTACAACATAAAATTGATTTGTATAATCCAAAACCCATTTTAATTACAGAAAACGCCTAGCAACTGCCAAATCAATCATGCTCTAATCAATAAGCTATAACCAAACAACTATTCAGAGTAATGTTTTTTTTAAATCTGAAAATGTTTTTGTCTGAAAATAGCTGCACTGTTCAATAAAAACAGGGCTTTGAGCAAGAGTATGTTAGGTCTGGTAATTAGGAATGTTTATTAGCGCACAGTAAGTAGGAGATATCACCATTAACTGATTACTGTGTATTATTTTGTCAGACTTTATGGATTCAAGGTGCTGTAGGATTTCACATAAACCTTAGGCTCTGTGCTTATCAATTGTAAAAACACTCAACAAACCTCAAGCTACCATCAATGTCAAAATGTATTTAAAAAAATATTAGACAAATCCAATGTTACTTTGAACCAAACATCCTAGACTTTGCTGTTGGCATTCCCCATCCCCCCATAGTAATGCCTGCTGGAGTCCAGCCTCCCTGAGACATTAGGGGGCAGTAGTGTGATGGTGGCCTTTTGCGCTGCTCCTCTGCTCTCCTCTCCCATCCCTGAATGCCTGCACAGCACACGCCTCAGCCTCGTGGTAGAAACAGGCGATCCTGATACAGCACAGAGAGGGAGGGAGGGAGAGAGAGAGAGATGATGCATGGTAAGAAGCGCCTAGTGCTCCAAATTGCCAGCGCTTTATATTGTGTTCCTGCCTCTCTAAGCTCCATTAGCCCCAGTAAATGAATATTTTACAATGTGTGCAAAGAGACATCAATTAAAGCACGTAACTCCATGGGAATGGAGGTTGGGCCATTTTATAAGAGCCAGGGCTTTTCATTGTGTTATGTATTTATGACAAAAACCTGAGCTGCATGGGGACTCAGAAGTGGGGGGAAGAATTACAGCAAATAGGTTTCGCTGCTGTAAAATGTCAAAATACTGTGTGTGGCTGGAATTTTTACAGTAGATGAAAATATGTTTAATTCTGAGCTTCAAATTTTCTGAAATAGCATTGGCAAATAGTCAATCACCAGGCCATAGTGAGTTAAAGCAGTCTCTTCAATGTAGAAGTTTTTCTTTAACCTGGGTGTTGTACAGGAGGCCTCCTGGTCCTGTGTTTGACAAAAGCAGCCAGGCAGGAAGATGTGAGAACTACTGTAGCAGCATGAGCTAGTGGGTCTGGAGATGGAGGGGTATGTTATTTTCAAGCCTTTGATCCACAGCCAGATACTTCACACCTGTAAGCTTCCAGCGCAGAGCACTGTCACAATCAGATCACAAAGGGGAGTTGGACATGCACGCCCTGTGGGACTATATCACCACTGTGGAAACAAGCAGCTTCTCTAGGTTTGCTTTGATTTCCTTCAGGACTTGAGGGGGCCACAAAGCTGGTTCAATGGTGTGAGAAGGATTTTGTAATTTTCTTTAGAAAGAGAACAATGTATTTTTCTATCAAAATGTTGACTGAGTCAGTTCCTCACCCCATCCATCAGAACGCCAGACCCATTTCCTGAGCAGGAGCCTGGTCACATGCATAGACTTGTCATTTGCATTGTGTGACCACTCTGAATGTTTTAGAAAATGACCTTCCCCTCTTAGCCTTCTGTTGAGTCTTTGTCCTTTTATACTGTAACACTTCCATTGCTGAACAATAATTTGAAATAGGCTAGATGATAAAGAGGTTGGCACTGGTGTTACAGGTTTAGTTTTTTCCATTTATGTTTTGAGGTTGGACTTTTAGCACATTAGCACATAGGTCGCACCGATTGGTGTCACCTCGTGAGTCAGTATGTGTTACACCTGTGCTAGCCCAGGTGATATTTAAGAGTGGTTGGCCCAGTGCTCCAGTTGTCTTGAGAGATGTGGAGGGTCAACACCTTAAATTGGCTCTCCCTATTAGATTGCTAGAAAAACATTCCTTGGTCTGATTTTCACTGTTTTTGTTTTGCTCAACTTTTTGGTTTGCTTCCTGTCTTTAAGTTTGGTGTGGGTTTTTCTTTTATTTGTCTCTTAGTGGGCACATTTAGTGGATGCTCATGGTGGGTGTCTTTTAGGTCCCAGTTGTTGTTACTAGTTAACTGTCAGTGGACACCCCCATGAGTGTCTTTCAGAACCCCTCCTAAAACCCTACCTTTCGTTTTGTTTGTTGTCAGTGACTCTTTGTTAATTCCTCCTTATGTTTGAGCGACATTTTGTTTGGTTGTATATATTTCTCTGTTTGAGCGGATTGCCACATCCCTAAAATGGCGGCGAGATATTTGGTCAATGCTCCTCCAAAGTGTTCTTGTGGGAAAAGCTCTGAAAGTGTACGCTGCCTTATCTCTTGATCAGAGATCAGATTATGACACTGTTAAAGCTGCTATACTTCGGGCTTACGAGTTGGTCCCAGAGGCATACAGACAACAGTTCCGTAAATTACGAAAGACAGAATCAGAAAATCATGTTGAGTTCGCAAGGGAACAAGCATGTCTTTTTGATCGGTGGTGTGGTTATCAAGAGGTCAAGGACCTTGAGGACTTAAATACACTCCTACTTCTCGAGCGGTTCAAAATTGCCTTTGCAAAAGGGTTGCTTCCTACATTTATGAGCACATGGATCTCACTCTTGAGAAAGCTGCAGTTCTTGCAGATCAGTTTGTGTTTACACATAAAACTACCTTCACAAACAAAGCACCCAGTAGTAGTTATCCCTACACAAAAAGCAATCCAGAGAAGTCAGCTCCTACTGCAAGATTTAACTCTTTTTCTACAGTGCCCAAAGATCGGCAGAAAAGGCGCACACAGCACAGAGGAGCGAAGGAGACGAGACCAAAAATACAACTAGAGAACAGGCGGACATAAACGGAAAATAACAGAACCTTGATACTTGCGATATAGGCATTTGTAATTAATTCGATATATCGCCCAGCCCTACATTAAATGCTATGGCAACAGCTCTAGTGGACCTTCCTGCAGTCAGCATGCCACTTACATGCTCCCTCAAAACTTGAGACATCTGTGGCATTGTGTTGTGTGACACAACTGCACATTTTAGAGTGGCCTTTTATTGTCCCCAGCACAAGGTGCACCTGTGTAATGTTCATGAAATCCAGGGCAGATTGATTTTATTGACTATAAGAAATTAAGAAATGAGGTTAACAGGATGATACAGAAGGCCAAGAAATATTATTTTAATGACAAAAAAGTTGAGAACAGGAACAATCCGAGTAAATGATGGAAGTGTCTCTGAAGCTGTTAGGTTACAGTAACAGATTAAAGACCAAAGCTCGAAATCTTAGCTTGGACATTGGAGGAAAGGTTACATCAGACAAGACCATGGTTGCAGACAGTCTGAATAGCTACTTTACAACTATAGCTAATACATTAGTTAGCAAGTTACCTTGTCAATCAGTTTGCTATGGGGAGAGACAAGTCCAGCTGTTTTACTCGTAGCAGGGGATTCAAGTAGATGCTTTTTCATTTGAAAAAGTGTCTGAGTCAACCATTCCAAAGCAACTGGCCTTGACAACATTCCTGCCAGATTTCTAAGTAATGCTGCAGTAATTCACACCCTGCGTAACTCACATTGTAAATCTGTCTATTGAACTAGGGTTTTTTCCCAGTGAACTAAAACTCACAAGGCTCATTCCTCTATATAAAAAAGGGAATAAGTTAGATCATGGAAACTATCGGCCGTCTCAATCCTGTGTGTTTTATCAAAGGTCATGGAAACTATCGGCCGTCTCAATCCTGTGTGTTATATCGAAGGTCATGGAATCTATCGGCCTGTCTCAATCCTGTGTGTTTTATCGAAGGTCATGGAAACTATCGGCCGTCTCAATCCTGTGTGTTTTATCGAAGGTCATGGAAACTATCGGCCGTCTCAATCCTGTGTGTTTTATCGAAGGTCATGGAAAAGATTATGTGCGAGCAGATTGACAGTTATATTTCCTTACATAACCTACTATATGAGCTCCAATCTGGCTTCAGGAAATCCCATTCCACCAACACTTGCCTACTATATCTAACTGACCACATCAGGAAGGAAGTAGATAGAGGGACATTTTGTGGTATGGTTATGTTAGATCTCCAAGGTGTTTGATACACAGTGGATCATGAGATTCTGTTAATCAAACTAAGAGCCATGGGCTTTAACAACTTAGCCGTAAAATGGGTTAGCTCTTATCTGCAAGGAAGAAAACAGATGGTGGATGTGGTTGGGACCCTGTCTAAACCCAAAATCTTGAACTGTGGGGTACCCCAAGGGAGTGTGCTGGGCCACTTTTCTATCTGTTGGATATAAATGATCTGAAATCTGCCTGTACATGTGACCTTTTCCTCTATGCAGATGATTCTGCACTGTTGGTTTCCCACAAAGACAGAACTGTGGTTGAGAAAGCCCTCGGTGCTGAACTTCTGAATGTCAGTAAATGGTTATATGACGACAAGCTGTCACTTCACCTTGGAAAAACACAGTCCAAAGTGAAACTAAGGAAATCCTTGGATTTTAAGGTGGTAGTAGGTTACTTAGTAGTCACAGCAAAAGACTCTGTTAATTATCTTGGATGTGTGCTAGGTAACTTTTTGTGCCATGTTCTCTCCTGTCACATTGTTATCTCCAAAGTGAACCATCAAATTAGGTTTATGGCAAGAACCTCCAAATATCTGAATAAGAATGCAATGGTGGCATTGGCAGGGGATCTTCTTCAGTGCCACTTCAACTATGCGTGCTCTTCCTGGTACAATGGTGCCCCCAAGATAATAACAAATAAATTGCAGACATCTCAGAACAAATTTGTCAGGATTATTCTTAAACTTCCAGCATGTACTCATCTTGACCATTCCCACTTTGAAAGCCTTAGATGGCTCAAAGTGGAGGAGAGCGTATCTCAGATTAAATTGTGTCTTGTACATAAGGTTGTCCACAGTATGGTTCCCAGGTACCTATGTAACTACTTTAACTTGGTCCGAGATAACCATAACTATTCCACAAGAAGGAGTGAAACTGATGTTGTTCCTTTTAGATTTAATATGGGGAAAGAAACTTTTTTGTACTCAGCTGCCATTCTTTGGAATAGTCTTCCAAATAGTTTGAAACGTATACCTTCAATGGGGGGTGTCAAGTTCTCACTGAAAAAATTGCTAAATAGTAGCATGTCTCAAAAGTGAGTCATAAGATTATAGTACATGGCTGAGAAGGAAATACCTGGGATAGCATATTGTGATTGTCTTGTATATATTAGGGGTTGATTGTTGTATATATTAGGGGTTGATTGTTTTATATATTAAGGGTATGTGAGATGTAACTGTCCATAGTTGTTTATTAGGAAATTGAACTGCACTAATTAGCTCATTTTATGAAACAAACAACAATTTTTGCCACTGCAGTTGCTGCCTAACCTTGCTGCATTCCCCCCTTCCCCCTCAAAAAGGACCACAATGGAAATAAGATTTTTAGCTTTATTGTGTTATCCTTGATGATTTTTCTTAGATTGTATGTGGAGGCGTCACCGGCTGGAGTGCCATTATGTATGTATAAAAAATATATATATCTACAGTGGGGAGAACAAGTATTTGATACACTGCCGATTTTGCAGGTTTTCCTACTTACAAAGCATGTAGAGGTCTGTAATTTTGATCATAGGTACACTTCAACTGTGAGAGACGGAATCTAAAACAGGTTGTTGGCCAAGATCTCGCGATACGTGGTCCCATCCATCCGTCTGAAGTTTGCCAATGACCATCTGGATGATCCAGAGGAGGAATGGGAGAAGGTCATGTGGTCTGATGAGACAAAAATAGAGCTTTTTGGTCTAAACTCCACTCGCCGTGTTTGGAGGAAGAAGAAGGATGAGTACAACCCCAAGAACACCATCCCAACCGTGAAGCATGGAGGTGGAAACATCATTCTTTGGGGATGCTATTCTGCAAAGGGGACAGGACGACTGCACCGTATTGAGGGGAGGATGGATGGGACCACGTATCGCGAGATCTTGGCCAACAACCTCCTTCCCTCAGTAAGAGCATTGAAGATGGGTCGTGGCTGGGTCTTCCAGCATGACAACGACCCGAAACACACAGCCAGGGCAACTAAGGAGTGGCTCCGTAAGAAGCATCTCAAGGTCCTGGAGTGGCCTAGCCAGTCTCCAGAACTGAGCCCAATAGAAAATATTTGGAGGGAGCTGAAAGTCCGTATTGCCCAGCGACAGCCCCGAAACCTGAAGGATCTGGAGAAGGTCTGTATGGAGGAGTGGGCCAAAATCCCTGCTGCAGTGTGTGCAAACCTGGTCAAGACCTACAGGAAACGTATGATCACTGTAATTGCAAACAAAGGTTTCTGGACCAAATATTAAGTTCTGCTTTTCTGATGTATGAAATACTTATGTCATGCAATAAAATGCAAATTAATTACTTAAAAATCATACAATGTGATTTTCTGGATTTTTGTTTTAGATTCCGTCTCTCACAGTTGAAGTGTACCTATGATAAAAATGACAGACCTCTACATGCTTTGTAAGTAGGAAAACCTGCAAAATCGGCTGTGTATCAAATACTTGTTCTCCCCACTGTATATATAAAATAAATTTAATCAATCAATGCTGTTTAATCAGCTTCTTGATATGCCACACCTGTCAGGTGGATGGATTATCTTGGCAAAGGAGTAATGCTCACTAACAGGGATGTAAACACATTTGTGCACAGAATTTGAGTGAAATAAGCTTTTTGTGTGGATGGAACATTTCTGGGATCTTTTATTTCAGCTCATGAAACACGGGACCAACACTTTACATGTTGCATTTATATTTTTGTTCAGTGTAATTGCTTGCCAGTCTTCCAGTTACTTAACATTTTAAATATAATTGCGGTGGACAGTAATTGGCCTATCCGAGACTGTTGGTTATTGTAGTTCAGTATCACCCCATGCATCATTACCCGTTCTGGAAGAGGTTCAGCTTCTGAACTACAGTGACCATACAAGAACACACACACATGCAATGGTCTGCTTGCCAGTGACAGATTATAATCACCATTCATGCGAATGCTTGCTAGGAAGGATCTAAGTTTTCCAAAAGCCCCACCACCACCGCCACCTCCCTCCTCTCCCATAGGCAGATCAGGAGCCCGTGATCCATCATCCTGCTAACCTCACCAATCGGTGGCCGAAGCCTGTACTCCATAGACCTGCAGGAGGACATTAGAGCTGTCCCATGTGCAAGGAAACACAGACAGGGCTGTCAGTATCCACTAGAGAGCTGGGACATACCTCAGGGCCAGTTTGAGCATTACATGAGGGGATCCTTCCATATTGATATTAATCAACAGATGACATAATGCGGATATCGCTATACCCTCTCCTCCCCCCTAACAAAACAACAATGAAACGCAAAAGAGAGCAAGGGTGGTATCGCTGCTGTATTTGGCCAGAGGTGTCGTGGGATGGCCTGTGCCCTCTTCTCCAGCTCTCTGCCCAAAGCTGTCTGGGCTAACGGATCTGTCCTCTCTGATGTCTCAATCTAGTTGTGTTTGCTGTACTGTACGCCGCCTCCTCTGGTAAATTGTCCAGAAGAAAAGCATTGGTCCATCAGCAAATTACCCAGAAAATGATGTCAGTGCAGGTTGTGACATGGGCTTTTTTCCCACTGGCAGATTGTCACCGACTACTATGGTCTAATTAACCTAGCTTCTGTCTAGTGTGTCTGAGCCACCATCACCCCTCTTAACCCACACACCCCTCTACCATCTCAAACAAAGTACAGGTTCAAGGGACTGATGGCTGCTGTTATTTTGGTCATTGTTTCTGTTGTGATGGCTGTTGTCAGTCTTGTCATTGTGGCTGTCTCTAACCTGTGTTTCTCCTGTCCTCTGTACTGGCTGACAGTATCACCCTGACAAGCAGGGCCCAGATGTGACTGTGACTGAGGCAGAGGAGCACTTACACAGGTTCATTGAGGTCGACCAGGCTTGGAAGGTCCTGAGCAACCAGGAGACAAAGAGAGCCTATGATCTGCAGTTACGTGGTAAGTCGTCCTCCTTCCACAGTTCAGAGGAACTGTCTTTCAGAGGAACACACTACAATCCAGGAGGGCTCCGTTAGGAAACATTCACTCTCACGTAATGTACATTACATTTACACTAGCATATTGTGCTCCCACTCTCACCACTCTCTGATGCTCTTCTTACAGCCACCATCTCATCCCTTCACTCTTACTTTTGATAGCTCTCCTGTGATTCATTTGAACATGAAACATGATTTTTCATTTCATTACACGTTTTGGAATTGTATGGCTTTATTTATTCTTACTGGTTGGTTCATGCTCAATTAAATCCCATAGCAATTCCCCTTGGGACCATCCCTTGCTTAATATTGAGTGATGAACAGTGACGCTGTGTGAAGTCACTAAGGCCACATATAACTAGTGGGCCTATGTGGTGTCTGAAAAGGTCACACTAAATGAGGCATGAACCAATCCAGTTTGCATAACTTAAATTCTATTTCCATTTCCAAGATTTCCTTAAAACTTTCAAAGTCAGAAGCAATAATAGAAGTCTCTAGTTTCGACCATTAAAAATAACTGGCCTGTTTTTCGAAGTATGTTCACGTGATCGTTTCTCAATGATCTGGGTGCTCGAGAAAGGGCCGAGAGTGTTGTGCAAAGACCCACCACCATCCACCCACTCACAGACCCACCACCATCCACCCACTCACAGACCCACCACCATCCACCCACTCACAGACCCACCACCATCCACCCACTCACACAGCCAATACAGGAATAAAACGAGTAACAGATGGTCATCAAAAAGAAAGGAGGACCAAGGCACTCTTCATATAATTAATTAAAATGCCTGTATTTGTATGGCATGTTCAATAGAAACACGTTTCGGCTGCATGGCCTTCGTCAGGGAGTCAGATGGTGTCCGGCTCCTGACAATGGTTGTTCTCTGCCATCTCTGTCCCTCATAAAAGGACAGAAGAGGGGAGGAGAGCAGGGGCTTCTGGGATGAGGAGGAGGAGGAGGAGGAGGAGAGGAGAGGGGGGAAATGTAGGTCAGACCTGTTACACACGGCCTAGCTTTACATGAAGTGATATGCTCCCCCCCCCCCCCCCCCCCGATCCCAGGAAAGAGGTTCCCCTAGCTAGCTCTCCATTAGGACCTTCAATAACTGTACATCCAGGCCCTGTGTGTGTGTGTGTGTGTGTGTGTGTGTGTGTGTACCATTAGTAGGGGAGAGTTCCCATCGCCTTTGGGGGGCAAACACTCAGCCAGCCAGCCTCAGCACAGTGCCACTCTGTAAGACAACACACTCCAGCCATAGCACTGAAATATAGAGTGTCTGTAGTAGAACGAAACCCCTGTCTGGTCCTCATAGATGGTATTGACTTTGTCTTCCATTGTATGCTGCCTTATAATAACAACCCCCAAAGAATCCCTCCGTAAACACCCCTTTTAACCACTTTTTAAATCATTATTTTTCCACTCATCCTCAGAATATCAAACATTTTAGATCTCCAGGGACAGTTTGTTATCCATTATAATAATAATAATATGCCATTTAGCAGACGCTAAATAAATTATGACCTAACAATGGATATTTTGATATGCAATTGACTAAGAAAGAGGTGAAGGTTGTGTTTTCATGTAACAATACTTTTTTTATTCCAGCATGAATACTTTATATCCAACATACCTTTTTTTTATAACAGACAAATCAGAGTTTCTCTGTTGAATGTGAAATCTGGGCCTTCTTTGATGGCTGATCTGTGAGAGTATTGGTTGTCCCTCATGGCTGGTTGCAGGCTGATTGTTTTAAGCACCCAATAGCAGAGGTGTACAAAAGTATTCGCTACATTTTGAATGCTTAGCAGATTTGTAAATTATGTCTGATTGTTGTGTGACCCTGGCTATCCGTAAATTTTATTTAAAAAACAAGAAAATGGTGCCGTCTGGTTTGCTTAATATAAGGAATTTGAAATGATTTAAACTTTTCGATACTTAAGTATATTTCAGCAATTATATTTACTTTTGATACTTAAGTATATTTAAAACCAAATACTTTTAGACTTACGCAATTAGTATTTTACTGTGTGACTTTCACATTTACTTGAGTCATTTTCTGTTAAGGTATCTTTACTTTTACTCAAGGATGAGAATTCTGTACTTTTTCCACCACTTCCCAATAGGGAGGGTGGGGTAGCAGACTAGCAGCACACAGCTCCCATCTGTCTGGCTGCTGTAGATCTCCAGTACCTACCAGTAAACATCACCATAGTGTTTAATGTTGCCCAGCCATTCAGAAGGACTGGCTCATTCTCCACTGTGATCAAGTGGGGCTGATAATTAAAACAAACACAACAGATGCCAGCTCAAAGGCCTGTTTCATCCAGATTTCACAGAGGAACTCAGTCAGTCCTCCTGTTGTTTATCAGAGGGAGATGTTGCTAGGCCCTTTTGAGTCATGAGTGGATTGTTTTATCTTCATGCTCATTAGAAGTGAAGGGGAATGGATATTCATCCATTATAATCCCCATGTCTATTACAACTGATAATAAATAGCCTTTCCCTCTTCAAAGTGATGTTCAATACCAGTACGACAAATAAATAGTTAAAAGCTGATAGTCTCAAAACATTAGGAACGAATCCCATGTTGGCTGTCAAACAGGCTATATCATAAACAACCGGCTTTGCAATTCAGCTTGGTACTGAGACCGGGGTTGCATTTTCCTGTGTTCAGGCAGACATGTATGGTAATTACTAGGGGCGGTAATTGTGTTTTGTGGTGGAGGGAGAAGTGTGCGCGTGTGAGCAGGGTGGACCAGGTCTCTGACACACTGTGGGGTTGTCTGGGAGCGATGTGCAGCCAGCCCTGACTAATACTAAATCATCTCATCCTTAATGTGCACCACCTCCACCGCCAAACACATAGTGGCCATCTTCCCGGGTTGTTTCAGGGCAACTTGCAGCAGCCCACTGGAGAGGCGTGTTTTTCCACCCTCACCTCCCCAACACTGAGACCAGTGATCTCCGACCGCGCGCGCCACTAGGCAAAATATATGCTTTAGTTTGTTAACACTATCTGCTCTAATTCGCTCACAAAACAGTAATTAGGCTACGTAGGCCTACATCAGGAGTCAGCAACAGGCGGAGTGATATTTTTTTTTTCTTCAAAGTACTGGTATTGTCTCAATGTAATCAAGGTATGAAGTGATTGTTATTTTGAAATGCAATCTCTTATTGGGCTTAGTTGTGGTCAATGTGCAGTGTACAAATTATTATAATTATGTTCCGGCCCCCTGAACATCTGCTCCGACAAAAATCGTCCCGCGGCTGAATCTAGTTCCCTACCCCTGGCCTACATAATTCAAGATTATTTAAATGCACATTCCCATGAAACTGATTGAGATCAAATGATTGACTTGCAGATGCAGTTTGGACGTTTCACCTGTAAAACGTGAAGAATTATCATTCATGATTAACAGTGATGATGGCCCATTTTGAAATGAGGTATGCCTAATTTGGTGTTTGAGGGTATTAAAAATAGAAAAATGTATTGCGAAAATTTGTGTGGATCTAGGCAGAGGTAGCATTTTGAGGATGCATTTCATGCACATTCTAAAATGATATTCAATAGGCTACATCTGTCGATACAAACTTTGAGAAATGCTGACGTCATCAAAAATAGTGCTCCAGCACCCATCTGTCTGGCTGCACTACACCACTGCAAACGGTTAATAACGCTTTGATGATATTGTTCATGTGACCTGGCAGAGCCTCCTTGGGATCTCTCAGTAGTGACTGGCTGTCGTCTGGGCCTTCTGGGCAGGGTGCATCAACTGGCTGAGTCACCCTATCATTAGGACATGGTCACTCTGACTCCCTCAACACCAGCAAGACTACAGTGTCCCGTCAAGACTACAGTGTCCCGTCAAGACTACAGTGTCCCGTCAAGACTACAGTGTCCCGTCAAGACTACAGTGTCCCGTCAAGACTACAGTGTCCCGTCAAGACTACAGTGTCCCGTCAAGACTACAGTGTCCCGTCAAGACTACAGTGTCCCGTCAAGACTACAGTGTCCCGTCAAGACTACAGTGTCCAGTGTAGTTGATCTACTTTTGTTCCTTTCCAAGTCGTATTGAGGCTCAGATCAGGCATGGAAATCTATTAGTCCTATAGTGTTAGCTTAACTGTTGAAGCACTGTGACAAAGGGTCCCAGTGAATGTATAGCCTCGTTCTGTATGATGTATTGAATCACCTAGATGTAGGCCTATAATTTGCACCTGACCACTGGCACATTAAGAAACTATGGTCTCACAAGATTGCAGTAACAACGACGGAAGTTAATCAAATCCACATTTTGATTGGTGTATCTGTCATTTGAGCCTCATCCGTCAAATGGTACAGTATATCACGAGGATGAATTAACAGACACCTTTTACTGAGAATTTACTGACACCTTTCCTCAATCTCACTGTACCACTTCTTAAAAAACTAATGAGAACAGCAGGTGAAAATTTCTTCACCAAATCTATCCAATGATATCCATACATAGCTGTGAGGTAGGCCACTTAGGCTAGTCTCCTGTCTAATTAAAGACCAGCATTAAAGAGTGGCATCAAAATGTGCTAATTACCGTTTCCTCACAAAGGCTGGTGAAGAGGTACTGTACTGCTAGAGATGGAGTGAAGTGTTAATATCTATTACTGTAGTTGTCTGTCTGTCTTTGTTTTTATATTAACAGTAGGCTGGCCTATAACGTCAAATGTCCGACTAAGTTTGAAGTACATTACAGATAAGCCTAGGCTATATGCACTATTATAAACCAGGTAGTTTGAGTCCTGGATGCTGATTGGCTGAAACAGCATTTCAGCCACGTGTATATCAGACAATAATATATTGTACCACGGATATGACGCAAAAATACTTGTTAACTGCTCTATTTATGTTGGTAACCAGTTTATAAAAGCATTAAGACACGTGTGTGTTGTGGTATATGGCCAATAAACCACACCCCCTCGGGCCTTATTGCTTAAGTGGATACCTTTTTATAAATTCATATCTGAAAGCATCTTGACTGTATGTTCCCCTAATTTCAATCCATACTGAGACATATTTTCATAATTATAGTTCATCCATCCTTTGCAGGGAGGTATATCTGCATCTTGCATATTCAGCAGTATGTGGCCTAACGTTACCTTAGAGCTTGATGGGGAATTGTCACCAAAGATGACCTCACTACTCTGCATACTTCCACTTCTAATCTCAGTTAGTGGTTCTGATGCGTCTGTCCCTCTCCAGAATTATCACCTCAATATTGAGTGTTGATTTAAGAGATTTCATATATGCACCATTACTAGTGTCCCTATTGTGTCAAAGTGGCTGTAAGCTGTGAGGGGAAACTGTCCAAACCTATGAATCAATGAACCTAGATAAGACCAGTGTAGCTTAATTAGTCTCTCCAGGATTCTGCGATCGCAAAATGTTAAATAAACAATTCCCCGCATATTACGCACAAAACGGTCAAATCATCGCAATATTATCGCATAAAACTGACCCATCACCGCAGTACAAAAAAACGCAGTATAAAAAGATGGCTCGCAATTTCAACCAATCACCGCACATTTAACACATATCGTTCAGTCAAGCCACTTGTCAACAAACTTTCTCCCTCGTCAGCGCATTTTCACGACAAGTTGGACAACATCATCGCATGTTGCCATGCAAAATGTCAGAATTGCCACAGGAAAATCAAGCATGTAGACAGAGATTCATGCGAGATATCAATTGTCTTTCCCAAGAAACTACCATTGTATGAGATCAGTCTGACATCTCACATCCTCTCATCTCATCTCCCTTCCATCTACCTTTCATTTGTGTGCCTGTGACACTCCTGTATCTCCTCTATCACTCTCTTAACCGCTGAATGTCACTGGCACAACAGTAGCCTACAAACATTTATCTGAGAGCGTCAATGTGGTTTTTATAATCTGTATTTTGTAATGTCAATTATTGTATCATTGTGGAGTGACATTTTCATAGATTTGTGACATTTTCATGTTTCTCCTGTCTCAATGCAGCCAGCGAACTGAATCAGAGTTGGCCAGTTGACGCCCGTGTCTGTCTGGACGACATGACTTTAGATGAAGGTGAGTGAGTCAAGTCATCGTCATCTTTCTTTATCTTCCTTATTTAATCATGATCTCTTCTGTGCTGCTATTGAAGTCATAGTAGGTACATCCATAAAGTTCTACTCCACCTGTCTCATCCCATGTACCCCTCTGCTCTCAGCTGTTTGACAGTGTCTGTGTTCTCTTTTCAGATAACGAGGTGTACACGTATGGCTGTCGCTGTGGAGGGGAATTCTCCATTGGAAGAGAGGAGGCGGAGGAGGAAGAGGCCATTGTGTGCTGTGACACCTGTTCACTCAGCATAGAAGTCAAGAGGACAACCTGACTGACTGTCTCATTGTTGGCCGGACTCCTCTGAATCCTGAAGAACTGGATGACGTCAAGGAGGTCCATAGTTTTCTTTTCATCTACGTCCACCTTCTATTTAAATGGGCACCCCCCATGGGGCCTTGTGCACATGTCTATTGGCCAATGAAAGGAAAGTAGATTTTGCTCTCTAACAGACAAGCTCGTCTGTTCTTTTAAATGTCATGCAATAAAATCATGGTGCAAAATTCAACTAACAACCAATCAAGTGAACTGTGTCTCATGATAATGGGTATGTGGGTCTCACATGCATGTAATTCATATAATGGGCTCTATTTTAACAAACCAAACGCAATGTTAAATCTATGTCAGGCGGTAGCGCTATAGGTTCAGGGGTGTGTCAGAAATAGGTTTGCTAATTTCACTATCAAAATTATCAGCGCACTTGCTGGCGTTGGCGCGAAAGGGCTGGGTTTTGATGAATAAACAAGTTGTGGGTGTGTAGAGGCTTGGCCCCTCACTGGCCAATCAGAATGTGCTCCATGGCAAAATATTTGGTTGCTTCAAGTTGTGTATTTATGGTCTTTTATGTATTTCCTTGAAATCAACTCCAATTCCAATGTAAGTCCGTTATAATTTTTTTGATGGCTTACAGAAACGAAATAAAATAATGTAGACCTATCTTTTCTAAATACATTAACTTGAACCCATTTGCAGTCCACATTTTTCTAAGTAATTGCATGGCTTCAATAGCATTCACACTGATTTAGGGGCTAGGCCTACTGTAAATTGCATTATGGCTGAGCATGGACATGTCTAACATTGTCAGTAAGCAAGATTCAATTCATTATTGATGAGGCATAAAAAGAGTGAATAATTTGAATCAAATTCTAAATAAAAAATAAAAAACTTGTTTTAAATAGGCTATGTCACACTTACAGGCACCATCATTTCTCCCTGTGGGCATATAATTTTAAAACAACGTAGACTATGGAGGGTTTTACACACATCCAAACCTTTCACAGGAGCTGGACAAAGATCCAATATAAAGAGAAAGGGAGAACGTCCGCTCCAAAATAGGCCTATGTTTTATGAACATAATCAGAACCATCTTACAGGTCAGATCACATTCAGATTGGGGGTTTTACGCACGTCCAAAAAAGGGGACCTGCATGGCGAAAATAATGTGGGCCTGCCTACAATGCATAAATAAAAAGGGAATGTCAGCTCACTGTTTTACTCCTCTCAAACTTTAATAATTTACCTCTTTAAGATTTATTTCCAAGCAGTCTCAGGAGCCAAACCCTTTATCGACAGTATTGACTACTTCGCGATTGCATGGGGCAGGACAAAAAAAAGCCTTAATTGAGAGGAGGGGAGGCTATGCTTTATGTTTCTAAATACGAAGGATACTGTCACCAAAAGCACATTAGGATATCCTTGTTCCATGTGCATATGGGCAGTGTGCGTCATGGCTGGATAGGCTGCGTTTTTGCTGTCAATATTCATGCCGTAACCAACTGAGTTACCGCTAAAACTAGCTTTTGGTTGGTCTTAAATATCCCTATCAGCACTGCCTGAAATTAGCACTTTAGATCATGTTTTTAAAGACACCAAATATTTCCACCTCCCATCTGAGCGGAAGCGAGCTGATATAAGACAGGTAAATTGCTGAACCTGCCGTTAGGGCTAGAAAATGCCAGTGCGCCAGTTTTTACATGACAAAATTGCCACCTTAACGCCAACCGAAAATAGAGCACTTAGTCTCTGGTGGACCCTGAAGTCCTTTTGAGGAAAATAATCTGCAGTTTGTTTGCAACCCCCTTCCATTGTGAAAAGCAAATGGCTCGGTAACCTGTTAGCTCTTGTTAACTTTGTTTGCATGTAAATAAATATATTATTTTCGAAACTCACAATGCAGTTACAAACGGCCTCCACACTTCACCACAGAAGAGCCCTCTAGTGAATGCCAATTTTTTTTGTCTTATTGTCCCTCGGCCTCCATGTTGGCAGATAGGAGAGTTTACAGCAACGGGACGGGGTCATTGGTTCATTATACTTCAGAGTCATTAGGCTGTTTGCTAAAATCTATCCTCTTGTAGCGGAAACCGCTTGAGCGGGGCGAACCTGGCTTTTCACCAATATCCCGCATTCTGAACCAGGGCTAGACCTGCCAGTGGGCCAGCAACAGACCAAACCCTAATCCATTGTGACATCAGTTAGGAATAATCTCATCACTTTTAGAGTGGGCTTGTCAAAGCTTTAATGAAGTTCTCTATGTCCCTCCTATATAGTGCAGACAAGATCAACAATACATTATGGTGTAGTGATGGACATTAGAATCCCAGAGGTTTTCAATTGGTTTCAAGTCAGAGATGGCCATTGTAAAATGTTGATTTTGTGTCCAATTAACAATTTCTTTGTGGATTGTGATGTGTGCTGTTTTCTGCTCATGCATTCTCATTTTGACCCCAAACCCACCACTGGTGTGTGTGGCCAAAGAGCTCTATTTTCATGTCATTCAACAAATGTAAAAGCCTGGTGTTTGCTAAAAGGCATTGGCACTTGGATTGAAGCCAGTTCTTTGGTCAAATGACATGAAAATAGAGCTCTTTGGCCACGCACACAAGTGGTAGGTTTGGTGTCAAAATGAGAAGACACAAGCAGAAAATAACCCCATACCTACTGTAAAATATGGTTGTGGCTCTTTGATGTTATGGGGCTATTTTGCTTCCACTGGTCTTGGTGCTCTTGTTAAGGTCAACGGAATCATGAACTCTACCAAGTAACAGGACATTTTAGCCAAAATCCTGGTTGCCTCTGGCAGGAGGCTAAAACTTAGCCTGAAGTGGATCTTCCAGCAAGGCAATAACCCCAAAACACACATAAAATTCCAAGTGTTATTAGTCAGATGTACAGGATACACACGGTATATACTGCCCAATGAAATGCTTACTTGCAGGTTTCTTCTCGACAATGCAACAACAATAAGAAATAATGAAAGATAAGAATATGAACATGAGGTAAATGGCTCAGTAGAATAGAACAAACATTTTAGCATAAGTATAATACAGGAAGGCACAATTTATAGTCCAATATTTACACGTTTTGGGGAAGGGAGGATTGGAGGGGCAAGTGTTTAAATTGTGCATTATTAGCAATAGTAAATAAACGTCTGGTAGCAGCAGTTGTGATGTGCGTGAATGCATGTGTGCTAAGGTGTGCAGTCAGTGCAGGTGGTAAGTTCAAGTGTTCAGCAGTCTGATGGCTTGTAGATTCTGTCCATTCGGAAAGTATTCAGACCCCTTGACTTTTTCCACATTTTGTTACGTTCCAGCCTTATTCTAAAATGTATTAAATTGTTATATTTCCTCACCAATCTACACACAATACCCCATAATGACAAAGCAAAAACAGGTTTAAATTTTTTTGGGCAAATTAATAATAAATAGAAAAGCTGAAATATCACATTTAAATATAAGTATTCAGACCCTTTACTCAGTACTTTGTTGAAACACCTTTGGCAGCGATTACAGCCTCAAGTCTTATTGGGTATGACACTACAAGCTTGGCACACCTGTATTTGGAGTTTCTCCCATTCTTCTCTGCAGATCCTCTTAAGTTCTGTCAGGTTGGATGGGGAGCGTCGCTGTACAGCTATTTTCAGGTCTCTCCAGAGATATTAGATCGGGTTCAAGTCCGGGCTCTGTCTGGGCCACTGAAGGACATTCAGAGACTTGTCCTGAAGCCACTCCTGCGTTGTCTTGGCTGTGTGCTTAGGGTCATTGTCCTGTTGGAAGGTGAACCTTCGCCCCCGTCTGAGGTCCTGAGCGCTCTGGAGCAGGTTTTCATCAAGGATCTCTCTGTACTTTACTCCGTTCATCTTTCCCTCGATCCTGATTAGTCTCCCAGTCCCTGCCGCTGAAAAACATCCTCACAGCATGATGCTGCCACCATGCTTCACCGTAGGGATGGTGCCAGGTTTCCTCCAGACATGACGCTTGGCATTCAGGCCAAAGAGTTCAATTTTGGTTTCATCAGACCAGAGAATCTTGTTTCTCATGGTCTGAGAGTCCTTTAGGAGCCTTTTGGCAAACTCCAAGCGGGCTGTCATGTGCCTTTTACTGAGGAGTGGCTTCCGTCTGGCCACTCTACCATAAAGGCCTGATTGGTTGAGTGCTGCAGAGATGGTTGTCCTTCTGGAAGGTTCTCCCATCTCCACAGAGGAACTCTGGAGCTCTGTCAGAGTGACCATCGGGTTCTTGGTCACCTCCCTGACAAAGGCCCTTCTCCCCCGATTGCTCAGTTTGGCCGGGCGGCCAGCTCTAGGACGAGTCTTGATGGTTCCAAACTTCTTCCATTTAAGAATGATGGAGGCCACTGTGTTCTTGGGGACCTTCAATGCTGTAGAAATGTTTTGGTACCCTTCCCCAGATCTGTGCCTCGACACAATCCTGTCTCGGAGCTCTACGGACAATTCCTTCGACCTCATGGTTTGGTTTTTGCTCTGACATGCACTGTCAACTGTGGGACCTTATATAGACGTGTGTGCTTTTCCAAATCATGTCCAATCAATTGAATTTACCACAGGTGGACTCCCAAGTTGTAGAAACATCTCAAGGATGATCAATGGAAACAGGATGCACCTGAGCTCAATTTTGAGTCTCATAGCAAAGGGTCAGAATACTTATGTAAATAAGGTATTTTAAAAACCTGTTTTCTCTTTGTCGTTTTGGGGTATTGTGTGTAGATTGATGAGGGGAAAAAAGTAATTTAATCAATTTTAGAATACGGTTGTAACGTAACAAAATGTGAAAAAAGTTGAGGGGTCTGAATACTTTCCGAATGCACTGTAGGAAGTGTCTCTGAGCCTGTTGGTATCAGACCTCATGCTCCGATACTGTCTGCCCGACGGTAAGGGAGAGAATAGCTTGTGGCTGGGGTGTGTGGGGCCCTTGATGATGCTGCGGGACTTCCTCAGGCACGGTTTCAAGTAGATGTCCTGGATGGGTGGGAACACAGCCCCAGTGATGTACTGGGCCGTCTTCACCACCCACTGAAGGGCCTTGCTGTTGTGGACAGAGCCATTCCCATACCAGGCCATGATGCAACAGGTCAGGACGCTGTCGATGGTGCATTGGTAGTATTTGGAGAGGACTGGGGTGGCATGTCAAATTTCTTCAGCGTGGTGGTGTTGTTGGTCCATGTCAAGTCATCGAGGAACTTAAAACTGCTGACTCTCTCTACTGCGGTCCCGTTGATGTGGATCGAGGCGTGTTCCCTCCTCAGCTTCCTGAAGTCAACAATCAATTCCTTTGTTTTTCTGAAGTTGAGGGAGAGGTTGTTGTCCTGTCACCACAATGCCAGTTCACTTACTTCCTCCCTATAGGCTGACTCATCATTGTTGGTTATCAGGCCTACAATTGAGTTGGTGTCATGCAAAGCCATGCAGTCGTGGGTGAACAGGGAGTACAGCAGAGGACTGATGACACACCCCGAGAAG